TTGTTTAATATTGGGTTGTCGGAAAAGTCATGATGCATTTTTGCAACGAAAAACATAGAAAAAATACATCATGACTTTTCCGACAACCCAATGTAAGTCCTCTCCTCACAGATGGATCAGATCCAGTGTCACTACGTCACTAATCATGTTTCTGATCCCTGTGGCTAAAGATTGGGTGCTGGATTGTGAGGGTCTCATGGAGGGTGCTTTGTGAGAACATATCCATGTGTGCTGTAGGACTGATCAGGTCAGTCCCCTCTGAGTCATAACGTGCTGAGTGGAGCTTTTCTGTATGAAACCACAACAGAGCCTTCTGTGAATTTGTCATTTGTGCACCATAAATAGAGATGTGTATTATTTTTCAAGAATGGTTGGGTGCATCAATCCATAATTTAACCATGAAGGTCTGCAGTGGAAACTGTTACTAGCATGCATAATCACGATGAAAGCTTCATACACCATCCATATTGGCCCATCTACATTTAACCCAATCCATTGATTCATAGATTGTCTTGGTTTCTTTAAGTTTGCTCAGCCTGTCAGAATAGAACTGTGTTTTTATTTATTCTCTTATTCCTAAGACTACTTAATGGAAGATTTTTTAGGAGAAGTTTTGAACAGATAAGAATACCAAAAATGTACAGATGAATATGCCGTTTTTCATTTATTCATGTATCATATATTTTTGAATGTCTGCTTTGTATCAAACGACGTTCTAGAAAGCTGAGATATTAAAATGAAGACATGGGATGCCCCACACGTCAAGGGTCTTATGACTTTAAGAACCAGTTAGCAACATAAGAAAAAAATATCACAAGTCTTTATAAAGGGTGCTGTCATGGATGGATCTATGCACCAGGTAGAGTGGGGTCTGTGCTATACCTGTGCTGAGGCTTAAAGGGCAACAAGGACATTGTCAGGGAGGCAAGTGAAGGACATGCACAGATTGTTTAAGGGTTGCTGGAGCGTAAAGGATAAGGCTGGAGGAGCCGGAGAGTTAGGGAAGATCCAAAACCTTATTGGTTTTTACGTAGCACTGAGGAACTTCGATATTAGTGGAGGTGACAGGGAGCCATTTTGACCAAATGGATAAGTTTTGAGTGCCTCACGCTCCCTCAGCTACCTGGGCATACGGTAGATGTGACGGTTGGGGAAAGGAGCAAACTAGAAACAAAGCACCTGGTAGGAAATACGTCCAAATAGTCTGGAGGACTGAGGATGTAGCCCGGACTAGGGCAGTGGATGTGATGGCGGACAGCTGAAGATGAAAAACAAGAGATATTTAAGAGGTAGAATTATACAAATGTAATCATTGACAGCCACTAGCAGGGACATATTCTTGTGGACTCAGTGCCTGCTGGGTGACCTTTTTCACCGAAAGAGCAGCAATCCTGCCTGCTGTTCTATGGCTGTTTCTATTATATTTGAGAAATTGAACATTAGAGCTTGTAACGCAAACTGTAAGTAGTTGTGTGTCGCTAACTGAAGGGATTAAGCCCCAATGCTGTGGCATTTGTCCTCGGTTCTCAGGTTTTAGTATCCAGGAGACATTAACTCCTGACCATGGTGCTTACAGTTCACGTGAGCTGTTCTGCCAGGTGCTAGAGTAGGAGGCAGTGGGTGTCGTGATTAAGAAATTGGTGTCAGCCAGGCCTGGGCTTGAATCCCAGATTTACGGGTTGCTTCGATTCTCACTTCTGAACTAACTTTCATTGTCTGTAAAATAGAGATGATTTGCTCCCTGGTATTTGGATTAAATGAGGCACTTGCTCAAACTCACACATCAATGGTGAAACTAAGATTACATTGTGGGTCTAGCTGACTCCAGACTCAACACTCCGTTTTTGTTTCTTTCTCTTTTATATTTAATATGTGCATTATTTTCATTATTATTATTATTATTATTTAGAAAAGGTACAATTTCAGTTTTGATGTCTCCTTTGACCCAAGAGTAACTGCATAGAGAGCTTTAAAGAATCCATGAAGAAAAGCTTTCAATTGTTTGGTTTTATTATGGATTTTCTAGTTTTATTCCACTATCATCAGATGATGTTTTTTGCATTATTTCTACCTTATGGAACTTACTGCATTTTTTGTGACCTAAATCTGTGGTTAATTCTGTGACTGTCCTGTGTGGATTTGAGAAGAAAGTGTATTATTTATTATCAGGGTACTAAGTGTGCAATGCATCCAGATCTCACTTATTAATTATGTTATTTGGGTCTCTTATATCTTTATTTTTACCCACTTGCCCTGTCCTTGGGCTGAGAGCAGTATGTTCAGTTACCTCACATTAGTATTTCTATTTCTTCTTGCGTCTACTCCAGATTTAGCCATAAGGGTCGCTGTTGTGTGTGCATATTTGGTGTGCATGCATAACTGTTGAATGTTCCTTGCAAAGTCTGGCCTTCAGCTTAAATCAGCCCTTCTTTGCTTTCTTTTGTGCTTTTCAATCTGCATTTTCCCTTGTCATATATAAAGATCAGAAGAGATGCTTTTTGTCACTCCTGCTACTTTGCATATGTTTTGGATGCTTTACCCATTCCTATATTTCTCCCCTTGCAAAAGCACTTTGTGTGAGGTGAGCCTCCGATTCAGCCCAGAGTCCACATTTCTGACTGGGCCATTACACTCTGCCCAGTGTGTAACTGGAATTCCATAAGATACTTGTTTTCTTTTTCTTTTCTTCGCTTCCTCAACCAGGGTCAATACCCACCCCATCCCCAAGCCCTTAATTTTTTTTTCAGTTTTATTAGGTATATTGACAAAACTGTACAATATTTCTTTCTTTTTTTTTAAACTGTACAATATTTAAAATGTACATTGCGGTGATTTGATATATGGATACATCAGGAAAGGTTGATATTATTGTCAGCAGCTTAGGATCTGTCTGGACTGAAGTCTCCTCCTGGACCCTGTGGTTTAGTGGGATTATCATTTCGGTCCTACCCTTCTGATTCTCACACCCTAGTAGGAGAGGCTGTCGCTCGCCCTATATACATCCATCACTGGTGGACTTGAGTAGCACTGATACAAGAGTTTAAAAATGCATTCCCTCTACTGACTTGACAGAACGAAGTTTCCAGTATTTGAACTGAGACCTGATAAGTCCCCAAATATTCTTTAAAATATAATTAAATGCCTTGAGAGAAATGTTATAACATATAAATCCACCGCTGGAAGGAACCCGAGAAATCATTTCCTTGAACTGTCTCCCCAGTGCATTAATCATTTCTACAATACCCCAAGTTTTCTAATCTTTGTGTTTTTCTGGCAAACTGGCACTGTCTCCCACTCTCCAGGCATGAGTTTGAAGCCCAGCTGTATGAGATATTAGCTTCACGTTGTCTGGAACTTACATAGGCACGGAGCCCCAGTTTTTTCTCGATAGAATGGGGACAATGATAGAAACTCTGCGGGCTGTTCAAAGGACTAAGTTAGGTTACCAATTCAAGGACCAGGCAGGCAACTGATGAAATCCTCTCAGTGTAAGGCAATGTGAGGGATGAGGAGAGTTCATTTCCTTGTCAAAGGAGAAGGCTTTACTGAACTCCTGAAGATTGGATCTCTACCTGCAGCAATGTGGGCCTCATATCCCAGATCTACTGATTTTTCCAGAAAAACAGAAACCTGGATTCTTAATGTAAAATTTCCCAACTATTCAATGTGGCCACTAATTCAAAGTTCTTTAAAACACTAGATAGATCATTAAAAAAACATCTCGGTGGACTGGGTACCCCTGTAGGCTGCCACTGCGCAGCCTCTGCTCTGAAGTAATTAGCATAATGCAATTAGCACAAAGTAGTCACTCAATAAATTATGAATTCATCCGATCTGAAACCTTAGCCATCAGACTCCTGGGAGAAAAGACACGCTGGATTGGTGGGGAAGAGGCCTGGGGAGAGGAACTCACAGAGTAACTAAGATATCAACCATAGGCCCAGAAAAGCGGCAGAAACGGAAGGGGTACAAAACAGAACAGATAGGAGAGCATTATCTACGAAGTCCGCCTCCTTCCCAGTCTGTCCACTCTGACTCATGTTTTGCCGAACCCCCCCGCGCTCTCATAAAACTGCTGATCTCTGATCCTTGTAAGATAGAACTGAAACGGGGAGTGTGTGTGTGTGTGTGGGGGAGGGCTGAGAGGGGGTAGGGACAGGCGGATTGGGGCAAGTCCTGCAACTGGTGGGAGTACGGGCCCGCAGCTTCCTTAGAGTCAGTTTACAGGGGAAGAAAACAAACAGCATTGAGCTGTGAGCCAAGGAGGCGACTGTTGTCCTGATCCTATTCCCTTTGGCTTTTCTCCTCATCAGCAACTCTGAATCTAGCCAAATACTTCCCACTCGGGCAAGGTTGCAGCTGCCCCACACATTATACGTCAATAAGGGCCACCGGAGTTGTTCTTATTTTTAGCATTTGTGTGTGGATGTAAAGGTCACCAAGAGTCCCCATTTGCTGGGTCAATTCCCCTCTCTCTTCGTTACATAGCTCTTGTTTGCCTCAAAGACGTATGTTTTCTGTTCAGGCGCATTTAGGTTAACACTTTTGGGGGACCCCCAAATATGTGCTCCTCTTGGCTGGACTCCTTATAAATCGCCATGGTCTGGGCGATGTATCTATCCTAGGGCCTGAGAAGTCACGTACAGGTTTTGCAAGAAGTACTCTAGGCATGGGCCAGAGCCATTTCTTTTTCGTTCTGGGGCACAGAAAAAGGTTCAGAGGAGAAGAGTTTTACATTTCCTCCCATCTAACCCTCCAAACACACAGTTGAGGGCACTGATGCCCAGAGGGAGGCCGATTTGCTTACTATTACCTAGCATTAATCAATATGAGTAGAGCTTATATTCATGGAAGGTTCTCCTGGCTTGAACACACACCTTCTCTCCACGTCACCCTTTGGAAACCACTGAGTGTGTTCGGAACGTGAGCCCAGCCCTGGCAAGAGCGCCCCCTTTAACCCACAGAGGGTGAGAGATACGCAGCTCTTTGGCCCGCTTTACCTGTTCTCAGTGTCAGCCAAGGCCATACTCCGAGTGACGTAGCACATCTTGAGGGGGATGCTTTTCCGGTCTCTGTGGAAGGACAAGGGCTGCGATGATGACGACAGAAGGTCTGAGGAGCCGCCCCCTAAGCGAGGGGATTCCGGCGGGGGCGTTTCCCACCCAATCTCGGACACCGGGGAGCCTTTCTTCACATAGGGTGTGGCTTCTCGCATGTACTTCACTGCAAGCAAAAAAAGACAACAATACGCTCTTTTAAGTACATTCGGGCTGCATTTCTGGAAAGTCTGATATTATTACACACACGCTCTTAATACTGAAACTCTTCAATTCTGAACACGATTCATAATTTCTGTTCCTCTCATGATAGTCATCCTGTCATTTCAATTATATACCAATCTGGTTTTTAAAACTTGCTATTATGATGACCTGAACTTTCATCAGCTGAATTACTTTCAGCTTTTATCAACTAGGACAACTTCTTATCTTTTCCGATTATAAGTTGCATTCTGGGAAGGGGGCTGAGAAAGAAATGGGCAGAGAATGAAAACGTGTATCACTTAGGCTAAAAGACACATAATTATCCAATATAGACATAGGGAATCTGGTAGCCATATTCACTATCTATGGCATCATCTTTCTACTGAGAAACAAGGACAGACTTTCAACTTAATAGTGCTAAGAACATATAATATGCAAAGAAAAACAGAGAAGAACACTTATTTTGTAATGGCAAAAATCTATAATAGCAAAAATAGTATATGTAAGAGCTGAAATCTAGGAAAAACCTAACTGTTCATTAAAAAAAGGACAGGTTAAATAAATTGTAAGACATCTATATAGTCATTTTAAAAAGTGAGATAAGATATAGATGTGTTGATGGAGAAAGACCTCTGAAGATCTTTCCACAAAAACAGTAGAGAGTAGAACATATACTGTAATGTTTTTTGTGTATAAAATCATATATATATATATATATATATATGCTTGTATATCTACAACTATTTGTGGATAGAAACACAAGAAAATGTTAACAGGAGTTAGCTCTGGGGAGTGGAAATAAAAGTCAAGATGATGGAGAAATAGACCTTTACTATTTATTCATTTATTACCTTTTTACACAATTTTCATATTTAGTTATATGCATATATTACTTTCTACAATTTAAAGAAACAAAAATAGTTTAAGAGTTGAGTGGAAGAGACTGAAATTCTGCACTTTGATATGTTTGCTTGGTCTTAAGAAGTTACTTGCTTATCCTGAATTTAAACATTTGGTCTTTAGACAGCTTCTGAGCTGACAGGGCAACTAGATTCTGGGAATATGCAATATAAACTTCCATATCCTTCTATCTATCACTCACGGTCTGATGGGGAAGGACTTTGGGGAGAACTCTGCTGCTTGAGGGAGGACTTGGCTAAGTCCCTTACCTCTTATTACAAATGGAAGTGGATTGGAATGGGTATAAACTAAGGGCATTTCCTCTAGATCTTCGATGATTCAGTTCCACAAACTAGTGCCTTCGTTGTGCAAGACATGGAGCCAGATTTATGGAGACTGCAGAAATATTCGGTTGTCAGAAAAGTCATGATGTATTTTTTTCTATGTTTTTCATTGCAAAAATGCATCATGACTTTTCCGACAACCCAATAGAAAACATGTGGTTTCCATTCTCAAGAATTACAAAAATCATGGTTAACTGTAGTGGATACTGTTGGTGTCCCGTTAGATTCCCCTTACCAGGGGTACCTATATCCTAACTGCTGTATGTTGGCTGAGAACAACTCATAGCTGCCCATCTGCTCTGGAGAACTGCTCTTAGCCCAACAGAAGCCACCATGCCTGGGAGTCAGCAGGGTTGATTTCCAATTGGGTTGCTGCCCAATCCCCCCAGACTGAGACTCTGCTTCTAGGGAACCCTACCTACAATATAGTGACATAAGACTCGTATAAACTACATAAGACATAAAACTACGGCACACAGCAGAAGAATGAGTTAAGTTTTATAAAGGAATAAAGTACCTTGGAAGAACTCATGAGGAAAAAATGGATCTAGGGATGCAAGTGACGGATTAGGTTCACAATAATTTAATAAGCATGCCCAACATACCCAGAGGCATGCAATATGGATCTATATTTGGAGAACCAATCATAGGTATCAAAAACAACCATATTAATTCAAGACAGAGGAGATGTCATATAGCACCAACACACACTTGAAAATAAGATGTAAGGGTCTTAACTGAACATCAGTGTGATTAGGAGAAAACAGCTCCATGGTTGCTGAAAACCTGTTGACACAGGTTGTAGTTACAGAAGAAAGGTGATTCATGGCCACTGTATTTTAAGGAATATTGTTTATTTCTGGGCAATATATTTAAAGGGGAACACAGACATAGCTAAGAAAAAATGCAGAAAATTTAGGGGTACAGATTTAAGCTGTCCAAAGCTGAAATAGACCTGTTTTGAAGATACTGAAATTTTCATCTCTAAAAATGTTCTAGTAGAAGCTAGAACACTGCTTAGCTTTGTATACTGTAGAATTATACTTATTGATCTATAGGAAATTCAAGTATCAGATGAGATTGTTTAACTGCATTATTATCCTTCTGGTTGGCGTAGGGGATGAGTGTTGTGGAGGTCAGAATCCAGGGATGTTTCATGGAATAGGTGGCATTTGAACTTGGCCTTAAAGGGTAGCTAAAACTTAAAAAAAGTAGAGATAAGGATAACAATCCTTCTTTTATATAATGTACTCTGGTTTATAATTTTTTACACAATTCTGTAGGAAAGGAAATTTGGACCTCAATGGCCTCAATTTGGAAGGGGGATAAAGAAGGAACATTTATCATATACCTAATGATGTGCCAAGTAAGGAACCAGGTACTTTACATAGCTTCCCACATTTAAGCTTCAAAATAACCACTTAAAGTCTCACTTTATATATAAGAAAACTAGGTCCAGAGAGGAAATGGGTAAGGGATATTTCATTTATCTAGTATCCATGTATCCACAAGCAGTAAAATAATGCATTGCTATCCCCTCCAGACCCTGCTACAAAGAAATGTCTTATAGAGCTACTTTCATTCTGGTGGACACCAGGAGATTTACATTGGTTATCCCTTGCAAGACTAATATTATTTTACACGTCAGCACACCGAGGCTCAGAAGTTAAGTAACATCAACACAACCCTGCTTAAAGTCCTTTTGTTCAGGAGTCCTGCGTCTTTTTGAGAAGTATAGAAAATGGAGACACTTGTTCTTGGTGTAACAAAGAAAGTGAAGAAAATTGATGTTGGATTCCTCCAAGGGCCCACAATTTCTGGTCTAGAGGAAGTAATAAAATTGTCAGAATATCCCTTCTTGCTGGAAGAGACTCCAAGTAGTAATTTCTAGAAGGCTTGGCCATCAGTTATGTCTAGTGATCCCCCTCCCCATCCACCAATTGAGGCCTGAGGTGAAGTCCCCTCAGGCAGAGAGTGAGAGCGTGCAGTCCTGTCTGGGTGTGATAAAGCAGTGCTTCTCGCAGGAAATATAAGCGTGTGTGAAACCTTTTCATGGTTCTCCATGCCCTAATGTCCTGAAATTTCTATACAGTACAATCAAAATACTGAGAGTGTGGTCCAACTCAGGGAGGGTAAGACTAGCTTTAATTGTAATAGGTGCCCCAAATTACAGTGTATTAAATGATATAGAAGTTTGTTTTTATTTTACCAAAAGTCTAGAGTAAAAAAAAAGGGCTGCGGGCCGGCCGAGTGGCTCAGTTGGTTAAGAGCTCGCTCAAGAGTTTGAGCTCTGAGCAACAGCGGTTCGAGTCCAGCCCGAGCTGAGCAGCCGCNGAGCAACAGCGGTTCGAGTCCAGCCCGAGCTGAGCAGCCGCTGAGCTGCCAACAGGTAGCAGGATGGCTCAGCTAAAAAAAAAAAAAAAAGGGCTGCTAGGGCAGCTCAGCTCCCTGAAGTTGTCAGGGCCTTTGGCTTCTGCTGACTTCCTGCTCTGTGTCCCTAGCCTCCCATCTAATGATCCAAGATGGCTGCTTAAATTTCAGCCATCATGACCAAATTCCCATCAGTAGAAAGGAGAATGACATGAAGGACTCCCCACCCTTCCTCCTTTAAGGCCACATTTCAGAAGTTGATACACTATATCTGCTTCCAACCCACTGGCCATTATGTAGTCAATACAGCCACTTCTAGATGGAAAAGAAATATACTCTTAACTCTGAACAACCCTGTGCCAACCAGTTTAAACCTGGTGAGGCGGGGAAATTATTACTGTGGAAGAAGAGATTAGATATTAGGGGGCAGCTCTCAGCTTTTGCCACAGGGAGACATCCGTAATCCCATCAGTTTAACACACTAGGTTTTACAACACATAAATACAAGTAAATATGCTGGTGCAACCAGTAAAAAACACAATGACTAGGTCCCATGAACTTGGTGAGTGTTTGATGTGCATTAACACATTGGAACCTTAGAACCACCCTAGGATACAGACATTGCAACCATCCCCGTTTTACCAAAGCCACTGCAATAATAGGGGGTCTAAATCATACGACCAAGTTACAGAGCTAGAAAGTGGCAGACGCGTGGGTCAAATCGAGGCAACCTGGCCCCAGAGTTCTCCTTTTAACCATGAAGCAAAACTGTTTCTCACACTTTATTAATTATATATATATATATATATATATATATATATATATATATATATATATATATTAATTGTGTGTGTATACGTATTTAAGCCAACATTTTTATGTACTTGGAGAAAACATCCAATTAAGAGGTTATTGCCTGTAAAGTAAGAGAGCTTGATTTTGTAAGCCTGAACTATTAAACTATGGCATTTCAATAAATGCCTTTTAAGACAGTGTAATACGTATCCATAATAGAGGGTTTAACCTGGCAGAGCTGAACAGCTAGTGTCTGCATAATTGCACCTCCATGTGCATATAGACAATAATGTCAGGCAAAGAGCTGTTGAAACCAATCAAGAAGCAGCCCAGCCCAGGTTCAGGATGCCTCATAATCAGAACTAATTAATAACCCATGCCCTTTCTGGGCATCACAAATTAAAAACGGTGCTGGGGCAATTAAAATTCCAATCTTCAGTTGCAAAAAAAAAAAGGGGAGGAGAGCAGGAAGAAGTGGTCTTCAAACCAATAATACACCAAGTCCCTGTCAATATGTTTCCAGATTTCCATTTGAAGGGCAGGCAGTGGTAAA